GAGAGAGAGAGAGAGAGAGAGAGAGAGAGAGAGAGAGAGAGAGAGAGAGAGAGAGAGATGTGTGTGTTTGTGTGTGTGTGTGTGTGTGTGTGTGTGTGTGTGTGTGTGTGAGAGAGAGAGAGAGAGAGAGAGTAAACCTGCTGGCTGGCAGCTCCCTCCTCGACGGGTGGGACGGCTGGCTGCAACTCTTGGCGGCTCCTGCTCTCGGCGATGGTTGCAGGCAGGCGGGACTTCGGTCAATGCAGGATGGACGCGGGTGGCTCCACGAACTGGCAGCAACCGGGGGCATGATTTAGAAAACGGCCACTTCAAAAAGGCTCCGCGAACCACCCGTCACCCGACCTCAGTTACCTGTGTCCTGTATTTGGACCCCTGTCTGGTAGGCCTAAACAAAACTTTTTTTTTTAGGGGGCGCCCAGGACCCGAAAAATGTCTTGGCCATCCCCCTTTATTTTTTCGATTTTTTCGATGGGGGCCTGCTTCCAGACGTCCAGGACCGGGCACCGAACCCCGGTTACCATGATATTTAGACAAAAATAAATAAAATGAATTAAGCATTGCCCCTCCAAACCCCTTTATTCCCTATCTTAGCCCCTTTGAACCGTTCCATGACCTAGCTTATCATGAAATAGGAACATAGTTCTATTGTATTTTGCATGCGCAATATCACCTTCCTTTTTTTTTTTTCGCTTGTTTTTGGCCATTTTTTTTATTATCCGAATTTCCGGATACTCCTACCCCCCAATAATGCGGCCAGATAATCCGACCAGATTATCCAGCTAGATAACCCATGCTACCTAGGGGAAAACTGCCAGTTTTTCCTATTTTCCCAACACTGGCATAGGTAATAGTGCAAGGAATATGAGCGAGAGCGATAGACAGAAGTCTGAATTGCAAAATCACGAAGTAGCCCAGGTAGTCATGTACCAAGCAGAGAGCACAATGCACCAAGATACCATCCAAATAAGAGCAATACAATGAACTCAAATATCAATGCCGACGCTCTCTGGTCACACCAACATAGTATCCAATGTCGCTCCTCTGGCGCTCAGCGCCCAACCTACACCACTCAACCTACCTAGCCTATCTACGTACTTGCAACAGGAACACATCGAAGTTGAAGACCAATGTACGTGACATGAATTGCCAATGCAGACTGCCATCATACACCAGGTACGTGTCTCACTCCTCTCCTCATCACCTTCTGTCTCCCCTATGCATGCGCCTCCTACCCGAAGACGACTGTCACCATCAGCCACCTCCGCACATGCAGCCCGGCTATGGCCGCCATGCGCCCGCTGCCACTGCAGCACTCCCTCTTATCTCTTGCGCCTGTGCGTGCGTCCAGCCTGCCTGCTTAGCTCAGCTACCACACGGCAAAGCAACAGTGTGGCCGCATTGCCTTCCCAGTCCAGAATGCCTGGAGTTGGGGTAGGCACTTTCCTTTATGGAAAGTGCACCCAACTTCGGCCTGTGCTTGGCCTGCTGGGCTGGGGCCCAGTAGCTTCGCGTTGGGCCAAAGTGTCTGGCCCTGGGCCCTTCAGACAGTTACAAGGGCCGCAGCATCCGGTGCCCCCGTCGTCCAGTTTCCAAGTGTTTCCTGCGATCTCATTGGCTCGCGACATGTGTGTGACGATGGTGCTGCTTTCTCATTGGTCTGCAGACGCTACGTGACTTGTCGGCCTTTGGATGCTTGTGCCCAGGGCCTCAACCGAATGGGCCCTGGGCTCAACTGTACGACACAGCTGCTGCTTCTGGAAGGAGCCAAGAAGGCTCACCTTGGTCTATAACCAACTGGCGTGCTGCAACTGTAGTAACCTTGTTTAGAAGTAGCCCGGGGCCCAGAACGTAAGCCCCAGGCCACGCAGACCAGAATTGGTCTGCGCTGGGCCGTGTGACCAACACATGCCCAGAACTGAGAAGGCCACACGTGGTTGTGGGACCAAGTGCTAGGATTAGGAAATTCAAGAGTCAAAGTCAATTTTTAAGACAAAGGTACCACGCCAGGCCCTTGGTTGGATACATCCACTTGTTGTGCGCAGGTACCAAGACATGCATCCAGGCCGAAGAGGATACAGTTTCGGATCGATCCAGGCCCTTACCGGTGTCAAGATCTGTACGGCTGGAGTTTTCAGCAGCTGGGGTCCAGACCCCGAGTCAACGCTACATAAGCGTGGACTCCCTGGCTTTGACATTTATTCATTCTGTCTTACGTTGACGCTGCCTCTATGCGTTGACAATGCGACGCAGGCTTGACGCTGCGACGCTGGTGGACGCTGGCATGACGTTGGCATTGGCGAGATTACGGCAGCGCGCTGCTGGCTGGTGCGCTGATTGGCTGGCTACTGTCTACAAGGCTGCCACGTGTTGCTATTGACGTGGCTGCGGCCACGTAGGACTTCGCCGGGTCTGTGTGACCGACATTGCTGTTCTATTCCATCATCACTTTAGAGAGAGATCAATGTTGTTTCATCGTCACTGCAGGAGGAGATCGGGACTGTGAGGAGGTTGTGATTACGTGCCTGGAATCTTCATGTCGGCATTGCTCCAGCGTTGATAAGAGACTGATTGGGTGCCACGTGGCACATTGTAGATAGGAGTTCAGATTACTGGTTATGAGGTGGTGATCAAGGAAGGAGCCCGAAGCAGGAGTGGGCAATATAATTCCTCTCCTTTGTCTTTTGTCCCTCCTTCCTCTTCGTCTGTGTATGATTCTCACCTCATTTCTTTCTGGATGCTATTTCGTTGTTGGAAACTATCAGCGACAAGATATTCTGGACTTGCACTGTTGATAATCGTATTCATGATCTGGGTTCATTGCAATTTGGTATCGGAGCAGTTCTCCTCAACACCGTATTGATAAGCGCTAGGTGGCGCACAGGTAAGTGTGTTGCTCACACATATTATAGGTGATGATGTGGCGAGATTACATCTTCGGGGATATCTGACGTGGCACAGATTGACGAGTAGACCTCTCCGGGGATGATGACGTGGATCTGATGTGAAGACTACACCAGGGATACTGAAGCAGCGAAGACCCTACCTAGAGGTTGACGTGGCGGTAGGGATCACGATGGGAGATACCTCCCTTTAGCCGGGGATCGCGATGCTGACATGACAGTTGGATCGCAGAGCTGACGTGGCATATGACGTGCCACGTCCTGGGACCTTGTTGCTATTGCTTCGGTGACACTCTTGAAGTTGCTGCTTGCGGCAGGGTCCATTATTGATGCTGACGTGGTCTTGAGTGGGATTGATTGCTGACGTGGCAGACCTCAAGATATCATACCTATCGATTAAGGTGGTGTCTGTTTACTGACGTGGCACTGAACTCTTGACTCACGGGGCATTGAAACTGATTGGTTGAACGGCGACGGTGTCTCATATGAAGTTTGGAAGCTGACGAGGCTCAGGAAACACACTTGCTGATGTGTCACCCCACTATTGATAGATTGAACGGAGTATGTGCTGACGTGGCAAGACTTGCTGTGTTGGTACTCCGGGGGTGACACGTGGCAGGCAGGACTCTGCTAAGCAAGGAAGGGCACTCAGAGGACTACGGCGGTACGGCTGACAGAGTAATTATACAGCTGTAGTGCCAGCTGTCCGGGAGAGTGCGTCATCGCACTAACACTCAAGACATAGCAAAGTGATATAGTGTGCTGACGAATTGTTTTGTTGGTATACTTACTTGATGATCGAAGTGGTTAAGGGTGCTGACAAACTGTTTCTGTTTTGCTGTTGGCATACTTACCTGTTGATTGTTGTTTGTGGTGTGCGTACTTACTGGTGTGTTGGATCTGATCACACGGGCCTGGTGTAGAACCTGTAAATAGGACGTCATCACACAGACAAAAGGAACAACAGTAAAAAAAAATCTGTTTCTTTTTATTTCTTTTATTTTTTTGAATTCCCATTGTGAATATCTTCTCCAAATTGACCTCCAGAATGTTTGGCTGGTTCAAAGTACTCCTGTTTCTCCTTCCTATGGCTTTGGGTGAAGGAACTTCAGACCCAAAGACTCGGAGACGGGCAGAGCAGAGAAAACAAGAACTGTTAGCATTATGGTCTACTCTGTTAAATGATCTGCGTTTGTCTGGACCGGACGCTGAGCAACACGTCCGCAGCCTGTTTGATTTGCAGACTGTAGAGAACCGTCTGAATCAAGTAGTTGTGGGCGCGGAAGTTGCAGCGGCCGGAATTGAAGTCACGAACATGATTGGCCAGTGTCGTCAGGCACTTGACCAGTTCGCAATCAAACAGTTAGAAACTGTAATGGAAATGACTAGGAAAGGTGAAGTAAAACTGGAAGTAACGGAGGCCACTATTGATGCCAACATTCAGCAGTTGCGTGAGACTTTGGCTGCTGAAGAAAGAAAGAAAGAAGAGTTGGCCAGGAGAAGAGAACAAGAAAAGAGAAGGGAACAGAAGGCTAAAGAAATTAGTCAGGTAATTGGAACATGCGTAAAGGAAGAAGGTGACCTAAAACAAACTTTTTATCACATTATGACTTACCTCTCTTTTCTTGAAGAGAAGATTGAACGACAACAAAATCAGCTAGATGAGATTGTTGTTGGATTGAGAACTGTTACCAACATTGTGAAAGGGAAGACTCCGGTAAAAGAAGAACAGACCAAGGTAAAAGAAGATAAGGGAGAAAAGAAAGAGAAGAAATTAATGAGTGATGCTATGAAGTCTGTTGTTCCGAAAGAAAAGACTGAAGAGGGGAAATCGTCTAACGGGGGGGAATCGAGTTCGTCATCTACTCCTCCTTCTTCCCCTCCTCCCACTCCTCCTAACTCTCCACCTTCGAGTTCTCCTAAGGGTTAAAAAAACGCGGAGCCCGAAAAACCCAAGAAGAAGGAGAAAGTGAAAATGAAAATGCCTTTCACGTTTTGCAACAAAAAGGACGAAAATTTGTTGCTATGGATTGCCGAGATACAGACATATTGCAAGACGTCCCCAGTAGAGCCTGATTCTCAGGTTGCGTTTTCCACTTCGTGTTTGGGAGGGGAAGCAAAAGAATGGGTGCTGGCTGAGGCTAACGCCGCAGGGTTCGAGGACATTGGGGAGTGGTCTGGTACAATGAACTTGAAGTAGTTCCTTGCTAAGATCAAGGAACGCTTCCTGGACAAGACGACGGCGGACAAGGCCTTTGACCAACTCACCACCATAGGCCAACGTCATTGGACCTCTGTGGAGTCTCTGTCACGGGAAGTAGATCGGTTGCTGCAGGTTCCTGGATTGAACCTGCAGGACAACCAAGTCCTCTATATCTATTCCCGCGCTCTGCCTGAGCCTATTCGTGGACAGCTCGTGGCAGACTTGAAATCCGGCAAGTATAACTATAGGCAGTTTCGCGATCTGGCTCTCCAGAGAGAGCAAATGACTTCACAAGTTAAGAACTCGTATGCTTCTGTGGTGAAGTATGGTGGAGGAGGAGGAGGAGCGAATTTCGGTAAGCGGGTCCTGTGGCGTCAGAAGCGTCAGGACCATATGCTTGTTCTTTTTGACGACGAAACCGTGGAGAAGTTGCCACTAGAAGTCGAGGGGGCGGCATGCAGCAGTGAGTCCAGGAAGGGGGAAGTCACTGTTGTTGTGGTCAACAAGGGAGGGCCACACGTAAATGGAGTTGAGAAGAAGAAACCACGCTCGTTCCCTGAGCATCCCGGGATTGCGGTCGGGAAGCCCTGGGAGAAGATGGGAATCACACAGGCATTGTGGCAAGAGAGGATGAATAATGCACAATGCCTAAAGTGTGGACTTGCAGGGCATGTAATAGCCTGGTGTTCACAAATTCGTTACCCAAAAGCGAGCAGCCAGTAGGAGTAGCATCTGCTCCTACTGACTCTAAAGGTTTGGATCAAGAACAAGGTAAGGCGCTTATGATCCCTTCCAACCTTTCGACTCACATGGCAGAGGATGGTTCTTCTTCGGCCCGTCATCCGGAACACCCTGAACCTGTCTTATGTACTGTCTCTCTGGATGACTCTCTTGGCGAGCTTGGTAACGAGTTGCTAGCACTACGAAGCTCGTGGGCTCAGAAAGCAAAGTCTAAGGGTGAACTCCTACTCGCGGATGTAGAGATTGCACACACACGTGTAGGTGCACTGCTAGACTCAGGATCTACGCGATCCTACACATCCGAGAAGGCAATCCGCAAATTGAATCTCGGAATGAAGGTAAAGAACTTGTCTCAACCTATCACGTCTAACCCGACAGACAAAAGCACGATCACTGTCTCACAATATGTTGATCGTGTGAAATGCCGCTTTCGTACGAGGGACGGAAAGAAGATCATGCATGAAATTTATTTTCTTGTTGAGAAGAAATTACCATTTGACGTGATTCTGGGTATGGATTGGCACGAGGAAGCCAACCCAGACATCAAGTTTAAAGATAAGATTGTGCAATTGCGGGACGCGCAATAAAAAAAACCATCAAATTGTATCATAAGTCTGGCTCTGACTCAAGTTTGTCTTTTTGTTGCATGAGTTAACCAGCTTTTCGTTCGATGGTTTCAAAGAAGAAACTGAAACAAAGTAATGATGGTCCCAGTAAAGCAAGTTGGCGAGTCCTCTACTTCCTATCCACCTTCGATTGAAAAAATCCTAGACGAGTATATAGATCTATTAATCGAACCAACAGGAACGATTGAGCGTGCCATAAAGCACACCATTGAGATTAGTCCTGGCAGTAAGACTCCCAAGGGCCCTATTTATAGAATGTCTCCTAGGGAACTTGAGGAATTGAGGAAACAACTCCAGGACTTAACTGAGAAAGGATGGATTCGCCCTAGCTCCTCTCCTTATGGCGCTCCTGTCTTGTTTGTGCCTAAAAAGGAAGGTGAGTTGCGTCTCTATGCGATCCTACTTTGATGTGCTAGGGACACTCCCAGTTACTCAGTTGTTCGTCCTAGGGACCAATGTGGAACCCGTCGTAAGGGGTTTCTTAAAAATCCAAGCTGTGCAAGCAGGCTATAAAAGAATAGACTTGAACAAATGGCTGAAGGCTATGCCTGTAGCCACACTCGAGGAACTCTTGATCAAACAGTATGCTGATCCACATGTGGCAGCCAAGGCTAGACTTAAGCTTGATAAGCTCAAGCACAGCAAGTGGACCGGCACCATGCACAGTCTTCAGCAGTATGTTAGTAAACTTTTTGCTACTCCTGATTTGGAGATGACTGCGCAGTCTTGCTTGGATGTGATTAAAAGTACGGTCCCCTCTACTATAACACATAGCTTGGGGGTCAGACTCATAGCGTACAAATTGGCTTACCCTCATGCGGGACTTAGTCAAGTTGGAGGCTCAAGACCTCCCGGGTGGATCGGGTGGCAAAAAGGCCACCGGCCGCAAACGGTTTCCAGGCAGCAACCGTTTTTCAGCGCACGATATACTTGAGGATGACGAGGAGACCTTCGCAGAGGATCCTTCTCTTGATGACGATCAAGAGCAAGGCTGTGAGGCATCTTGCTCTTCGTCAACTCATGAGTCTAAGTATGTAAATGATGAAGAATCCATGGATGCCTTCAAGAAGACTGCCTTTAAAAGTAAGGGACCCAGGACCACAATGAAGAACAACACTAACACCACTCTTCTTCCCAAGGGAGCGAAGATTCCACCCAAACCGGAAGATCCTACCACAAAAACATGGGTAGATCTCCGGATAAGTGAAAGTGAGTGGAAACACAGGGTGAAGAAAGGGGTTTGCCTGCATTGCACCAAACCGGGACACTCAGTCCAACATTGTTTCAGAATGAAGTAGGGAAACCAACAACGGGGGTAGAGATATCATCAACACACTCTACAGACGGAGAGGCTGAACATGTAAGTGAAGTTCCTTCATTGAATTCTGATCCCACTCAGCAAACCTCTCCTGAGACCCCATCTGATGTTGATTCCAAGGCTGAGAAAGTACACATCCTATACAAGGAGTCTTGGGTAGAGTCGAAAGAAATTGACTTTCATGCTCTGTTGACGCGCTGGGCTCATATGAAGCAAGAACACGCGCAAAGGAGAACGAAGTTGATCTTCTTTAAACTCTACATTAATGGTCGTTACATCCATGTGTTGGCTGATTGTGGTGCAACCGCCAACTACTTCTCACCGCACGACATCCGTAAGGCACACTTGGGGATGAAGCAAGTGACCTTGCAAAATCCTTCTCGGACCCAAGTGGGCAACCAAGTGGTTGTCACCTCTACACATGCAGTCAAAGGTGTGCGCACTACCTTTGACGCAGACCGCACAATCGCGCATGAACTGAACTTCTATGTCCTTGATCAGTGCCCCTTCGGCGCGGTTATTGGCTTGGGCTGGTTGCAAGCCCAATGTGAAAGAACCACTTGGAAGGACTCACAGTTCATGGTCAAAGATGCCATGGGAATCGAGCGTCTAGTCCTCTTGGATGAGTCGCGCGAGTCTCAAGTAACTTTTCTAAATGCAATGCAATTCTGCAAAAAGTGGCGCAGGCGCAAAGTTGATGAGCAAATGTATATAGCCTTTGTTAGGCCAGCTCATGTGCCTTCTATTTTTGTTGTACATAATGATTCTACTTTGCATGCCGTTTCGACCTCTAATGCAACTACTTCTACCTCGACTAAAGCTACTTATAGTCCAAACGACTCTGCGTCCAATTCTGTTGTTTTGGCTGCACCTATGCAATCCGGTATTCGTGCACCTGAAAGTGATGATTCACCTTTGGAAGTCCCATCAGAAATCCGCAACCTTCTCAACCGATTCCCTGAAGTCTTGGTCGAACCGCATGGAGTTCCCGTGCGTCCGGTCCGACACAAAATCGAGTTGATAGAAGGTAGCACTCCTCCAAAAGGCTGTGTCTATCGAATGGGCTCAGGCGAATTGGAAGAGTTGCGTAGACAGATTGATGACATGATTGGGAAAGGATGGATCAAACCAAGCGAATCCGAGTCCGGTGCACCGGTTTCTGTTTCTCCCAAAGAGAGGAGGCAAACTACGGATGTGTATTGACTACCGCGGATTGAATAGAATAACAAGAAAGAATGCATATCCTCTGTCGCGTAGTGATGATCTGCTTGATGTTGCAGGTGGGTGCAAGGTCTTCCACAAGATCGATCTCAAGTCTGGCTACCACCAGATTGAAGTCGACCCTGCAGACCAGCACAAAACTGCATTCAAAACTCGCGATGGGCTGTACGAGTTTACCGTCATGCCCTTCGGCCTCACGAATGCACCAGCCACCTTTCAAAGTCTCATGGATAACGTGTTCCGCAATCAGATCAATCGATTTGTTGTTGTTTATCTGGATGATATACTAATTTTCAGCAAGCCGATGGAGGAACACATGAGACACCTTGAGGAAGTGTTACAGATCCTCAAGGATGCGCAACTCCATCTCAACTTGGAGAAATCTGAGTTTGGGAGGGACAGCATCATTTACCTTGGACATCGGTTGTCTGCTGCAGGCCTAGAGCCCGAGGCAACCAAAGTTGAGGTCATCCGCAACTGGCCTCCACCGACCAATGTCTGCGAGTTGCGTTCTTTTCTTGGTCTTGCGTAATACTACCGTAAGTTTGTACCCAAATTCTCTATCATCGCCCGTCCGCTGTCCAAGTTGACAAGTAAAAATGTGTCTTACACATGGGATGGGGAATGCACAACAACCTTCCAAGTGTTGAAGGAGGCTTTGGTGAGTCATCCGGTGCTCCGCATTGCAGATCCCAAACTTACATTCGTAGTAACTACGGATGCAAGCTTGTATGGGATTGGTGCAGTGCTGCAGCAAGATGACGGCGATGGCTTACGTCCGCTTGAATATTACAACAAACGCATGCCAAGTCACAAGGTAGCTGCCTCCACTTACATGCGAGAACTCTACGCCTTGAGAGAGGCACTAGATCGTTGGAAACACTACGTCTTGGGTCGTCATTTCAAAGTGTTCTTTGATCACGAGACTTTGAAATGGATTCATACACAGATTAATCCATCAACCACACTGACCCGCTGGCTGCATGAGATTGATGTGTATGATTTCGAACTTAAGCACAAGAAAGGTTGTTACAATCGCGTTGCGGATGCTTTGTCTTGCCACCCTGAGTACATGACTTGCCTTGTGGGTTCCTATGATCTCCGTAAGAATTTGAAGGAGGAACTCATTGAGCACACTGCCAAGGACCCGGAACTCAGTCCCATCCTTGAGCAGATTCAGGCTGACCCTAAGCACGATCGACTTTGTGTACCCAACCATGACCCGATCCTTACTCACTTCTTGGACTTGGCTCATGGCCAGAGTGGACACTTCGGTTTTTAGAAAACATACGGAAGTCTGCTGCAAAAGTTTGTATGGCCTGGAATGAAAGGAATGGCACGAAAGTTTGTGGCTGAGTGTGAAGTCTGTCAACGCATCAAACCGTCTCGGCAAAAGCCCTATGGTCTGCTGCATCCTCTTCTTATTCCTGATGGCGCGGGAGAGTCTCTTTCCATCGACTTCACGGACATGGGGAAGAAGAGTAGGAATTAATATTCGCAAGTAATGGTGATCGTTGACTGCTTTTCAAAATTTTTGAATCTGATGCCATTACCACCTCACGCCCCAACTAACCTTGTGATCAAAGAGTTTCATAAGAAGTACATTCTGCAGTATGGGGCCCCGAAAACTCTCATGAGTGACCGGGACACTAGGTTCATAAGTGCATATTGGAAGGACTTCACCTCCCAGATCTATGACATCAAACTCGAGATGACATCTAATCGACATCCTGAAGCCAATGGGCTGACCAAGGAGATCAATCAGACTGTGATCCAACTACTCCGAGCTCTAATTGTGCCTGATCAGAACTCTTGGGATGAGGAGTTGCCGATTGTGCAGGGGTTGTCCAACAACTCCATACACTCCTCCACCGGGATGACACCTAACCGGCTGCACCTGGGGTGGAAAATTTGCAATCCTCTATCCTATCTGTTTCCTGAACAGCCACCTGGCCTGACACCTGGCCAGCCAGGCTACATCGCTAAGTTTGATCGTTTGCTCAAAGTTGTTGTCGCAGCTATGGAAAGGCGACGCAGTGCCATGATTAAGCATGCAAACAAAATGCGCCATCCTGATCCTTTTACAGTGGGAATTTATGTTTGGGTTAAGATGTCTGAGTTTTCTGAAGAAGAAAGTGTATCACGAAAGCTTCTTCCTCAGTACTACAATTCGTAGAAGGTGCTGAACCAAGTAGGGAATGATTCATTTGGTCCTTCTTACACGACCGAGGTGCCTCCTCATCTGCGCACGTACCCAGTCTTTCATGCATCGAAGTTGTTTCCGTATGAATCACCCGAACATTTCCATATCGAGAATCAATAATGAAACAGTTTTCACCTTTGGCAGTAGCCGATGCAGATCCCAGGGGTCGATCCCTTGACCTCAGCTTACCTGTGTACAGTATCTGTACAGTTCCCTGGAGTTGAACCCGTGACCTGCACGATAGCCAGTGGTAAGTAGGTCACC